TTTTTATTTCTAACGCATATCTAATACGTTTCAGATACTTCGACTGCATATTCAATATTTCTCAAATACTTTATAGTTCTTAATATATATATTTTTTCTCATTTTCCCTTATGCACACTCCATTTAATTACTAAAAAGGCGTAGAACAATAAAAATATCATCAATCCAGAGTTAAATTCTTCATATAATAGATAGAAATTCTATATTTTTATTTCTATAAAGAATATAATATATTATGTCTCTAATATAATATAATATATATATATATATATATATATATATATATATATATATATACACACACACACTTGAATTTAAAGTTTAGAAAATAGGCAAGCAACTTTTTATCATATTTTAGTAATATATTATGTACCTTTAAAATACTTGCATACAAATAGAAATATATATGAAATCTCCTCTACTTGGACACTATTGTAACCACCTTAGATGAGAAAAAGGGAAAACAGAAAAATAATAATAATAATAATGTCCATGTATTTTCTACGCATGTCAACCCTAAATCTGTTATAAAAGTAATTTAATTTCAAATAATGTAGTAAACTATTATTCAGTTATGTATAAAATTCGAGTAATTCGGTATCACAAAATATTCTTTCTCACCAATCATGATCATTGTTTCGTTGAATTGTCTATTCAATTTATAACTTATTTTAATAGTGTATAATTGTGATGTTTATTTGTGCAATGTTTTATTTAGTAGAATAAGTTAAGTAGGTTATTGTTCATTAAGAAATTAAAGTTTAAAATTTTGAAATTTATTTATAATTTTATTGCAAATTAAATTTTACTCATGCACATACAATTTTACTGATATATATATATATATATTCATTGGTACCACGTTCTTCCTCAAGTTCTTAGTCCAAAGTCTTTTTTAAAATTTTTTTTGATAGAATCCAAATCCAAATACTGAAAGAAAGGAAGAGATAGAATACTATTAAAGGTAAGTTCACGAGAGAAGATTACCCATTTGACATGCGTTTTGTTTTGACATGCGTTTTGTTTCTACTGTTTTTGTTTTTGAATTATTACAGTGTTGATTTTGATAATAATAACATATTATTCGGTATAGTCTTATTTTATTTTTCATAGTGCTAAAAACACCTCGTAAGCAGTGGCTCAAAACAAAAATACTAAAAGGATTTTTTTTTTTCTTATTTTGATAAATATTCATAGCCTAAAACCATAATTGTGCATGTTTCTGTTATCGTTTCTAAATGTATTTCTAATTTTTTTTCAAAATACTCTAAAAATAATGTTTTATTTCAGTAAAAAACAAAACGTATAAAATAAATAGCATGCAACCGCTTAAGTTTTAATGCAATACAATCTTTATTTTTGGGTTAATTTCACTAACATTCCCTCAAGTTTGATCAAATATCACTTTGAAACAATTTTCGAAAATTACTATCACTCATATTACAATCATTTGTCCCGTTTTTCTCTCACATTCCAACAGGCACTTTTAGACATGACACCATATAAAATGACTTAAAATATTTAATCTAAAGAAATATACTAAAAGACTAAACTATCCCTAAATATTTTGCAAATTCACACACACACATATATATATATATATATATTTGGAGATAATATCGTTACTCCCCAGCAACCACCGCTGCAACTGGTAGCCGCAGCACCACCATGGCGGTGCCAATATCATCCCCATCCATAACCGCCGCCACCACCAATAAACAAAGAATAGAAGGAAGAGAGAAATAGACCAATCTCTTCTTGCCGATTAAGATTTCAACATTTTTGGGTTTGATTTCTTTTTTTCCAGAAATCCATCGATTATTCGAGGGAGAGTGTTTCTCTTTCTAACTTTTCTCTGTCTACATGCGTGGGTCTATCTAACTGGCGGTCACAATTGGGTCTAACTGGCTTTCTCTGAGATGAGTTTTGTGTATTAGACTAAAAATTGTAGAGAGAAGAAAATTTTGATCTGAGTCTCTGGAATTGAAATCGAAACACTTTTGGTTCAAAACCCTCCGTACATCTTTCGAAATCACACCGTCGGCGGCGAGAGTGAATGGGAGCTGAGACCAGGAGGAATGTTGGTTCATAAGCGAAACCCGGATTCAGATCAAAACCGCGTTCCACCACCCACCATTTGCGTTTGGGTCAAGTATGGGTCCATCTACCCTGAAATCAATATCGGCTCTTAAGCCATATTTGGTAACTCAAAATCAAATCTTTTTTCCTCTTCATTGCTAATAATTGAATTTTTTATTTTATTTTTGGAAATTGAGTATGATAATAAGGTGTTTGATGGATTTGTGATTGATGCAGGGGATTTGAAGAAAATGTTATCTGGGTTAATCTACTACGAAATCAATATCAGCTTTCAAGCCACATTTGGTAACTCAAAATCAAATCTTTTTTTTTTTCCCTCATCGCCAATAATTGAATTTTATTTTATATTTTATTTTTGGAAATTGAAGAAAATGTTATATGGGCTGACGGGTTTGCACCACCAAGATTAAAAATTGTTGTTCAAAGACAAGGATAGAGACTCCAATGCTTTTCTTCACTTTGTGGTGGTGGGGGATAGCTGGCGCTGGAAGCGAGTGTGTGCAGTAATTTTTTTTTTTTTTTTGAAGGGTAAATGTCATGGTTAGTTGGTGCCGAGACTCGAACTTACGCGTTCCAGGAGTCAACAGGAGGCATCTTACCAGCTAAATTAGAAGTCTTTGGCACGACGGGGGTAATTTCCTTCATATATAGTTATGAGGTTTTAAATTGGAAGGCATTAAAAAATGAGGGTAAAAGTGTCATTTCACACCTATTTTGCCAGTGTTAGTGATGAAAAAGTGATTTGGAATGTGAGTGATAATTTTTTTTAAAGATGTTTCAAAGTGATTATTTGACTAAATTTGAGTGGTGTCAATGCAATTAACCTGCTGTCAATGCAATTAACCTAATCTTTTTAACTTGGGTAGAGAGACAGAACCGTATAACTTCTTCAAAACAGCCAGCTCAAAACGGCTTACTTTTTGGCTAGAAAACCTTTTTTAGAACCTCGACATTTGCGCCGAGTCCATGCTCTTGATGTCATTGAAATGACATCATTTAAATGACATCAGCAGCTGATGCCGGATATATTATTGGAGCTGATTGGAACCTTCCCAGTACCTTCAGCATGTGGATATACTATTTGTCGGTGGATTCCTGCCTTTTATTTATAAAAAAGAAAAATAAAAAAAATAAATATTTCCTAAGCCAAATTAAAGTTCCTCCTGAAAAATTATGACTCACAAGGTGTTTAATTTGAAACAGAAAGAGTATATCTGAATATTTTGATGTTAAAGGGACTCTAAATACTAAATTGTGTACTACATTATTATGATGTGTAATTAGTTTTTATTAATAAGAGAAATAAGGAATGTTTATTGATTGAGGTATAACATAATTGAAAATTTTGAAATATTCAGTAATTTTTTGAAAGAATAAAGAAAACAAAAAAGAGGAGAACTATCTTACTTGCAACTGAAGAAAAACAAAAAAGAAAAAATGGAGCCGAACTTGCATGGGAGCTGTTGATCAGAAGTGAGATCGTGACAAAAAGAAAATAAAGTAATAGTAATTTATTATTTTGAGGGCAAGAATGTTAAGAATTATAGCCTATAGGGATTAATAGATACAAGAGAGAAGGAAAGTGTAAGACTTGAACACCGAAAGCAATCCAGCGTCAAACAATATTTTTACCGGAAAATATACAATTGAGAGGAGGAAATATAGAGAAATAGAAGAAGAAAGTGTAGAGAAGTGTGAAAATGAAGTGCTCCAGTCTCCCTTCATCCCTTTTGCTTGTCAGGCCTTCTTCTGGGTTTAGTTTGGGCCTTGGTTTCTATTTTGCATAGGTTGGTTGGTTGGTTTTTTTTTTTTTTTTTTTTTTTTTTTTTTTTGGTAATATGGAAATGGAGTATGGAGTTTAGTATTTTCCGATCCTTTCTATCTTGTGTCTAGCGGTGCACAAAAAATTGTTTAAATTGGTAAATTAATTGAACGGACTGAACTATTCGATTTGGTTCAATTTTTTCACGTTTCGATTCAATTTCACTGATATCATAGTTCGATTTAGTTTCAATATATATAAATCTTGTGAAGATCAATTTGATTCCAAAATACTTTAAAATAGTATCTTCAATCCGTAAGCGCTACTTGTGCCGTAACTTTCTAAGAGACAATTAAACAACTCATGTTTCCTTAACTTTCTCAGAGACAATTATAAGCAAAATCTCAACTTTGAACAAAGCTTCAACGAGTTCCCTTCTTTTTTCAAATCTTTGCTGCTACTTTAATGTATCTTACACATTTTATTTCAATGCTCTTGCTAAGCTCAGATTTGAGATTTCTATGACTCTATATTAACATTTCGCAATAGGATTTTCTTGTTTATCTAGCTTCTAAGCCTTCTATAGGTTTGTTTATTATTCATTAATAACCTTTGATGGTCTCATATTTAAAAAAAAAAGGAAAGTACTGAAAAAAACACTCCGCGTTACATATTCACCTCCTATTTTCACCTCCAATTTTAAAAAGTGTGCTAATAACCTCCTTATTCTTTTAATATAATGTGAAAATGCACCTCATCTGATATAAAATAATGTTGTATGTCTTTTTTGTTAGTTTACTCCTTCGAAAATGTCCAAGGAAGTGTGTACGTTAATAATATCATAATATAGTGATGTTATGCGCACATTTAACCTACTTAACAAAATAATAATACTAAAAAAATAATAAAAGAGGAATTGGGTTCAAGCTTTCCCTAGCCCCTTCTCTTAATAAAAAAACTTTTCTCGCCCCAACGAACTCGTGAGACAGCCTGAAGCCCAAGCATGAAGAAATACATCCTGACTCTAGGGGTTGGCCTACAAAAGAATTGGACCATGGACATAACTCCATGGACCCACATTAAAAATAAATCCAAGTTTTATATGGTCAAAGACTCACTACGTAGCAAAAGAAAAATATGGACAAAGTTCCTCTCTAGTATTTGCTCAAACTTGAGAAATTACAATCAAAAACTGAACAAAATTATAATTACTATTTTCACTACAAGAGAATTCGAACAAACAGCTTCTGAAAAAAATAATCTGAAACCGTAATAAAAACCCGCGAAATTATTCTCCCTTCTTTTCCAACGCGTGGCAAAGAAACCAACTGTTTTCTTGCACATCACAAGAACACACCATGCACACAAGAAGAAAAACAACAGCACACCTTGCAATTTACCACACCCTCACACACATCTCACAACCAGTACTCCTTAGCTAGAACGCATTCTTGTTAGTCAAAACATATCAGATGTGTTCTTCTCTGTGTGTTCAGCTGTACAAAACGAAAAAAAAAACAAGATTATATTTTCTAAGATATATCATATATATAATCAAAATAACCAAGCTGTATATGGCTAAATCTTTAAGATTACTAACTAAATCACTAGAGCAAAATGTCCAAAGACTCACTTGTTGGAGATTAACTCCACCACAGAAGGAACCACAGATGCAATGATCATCAATGGATCTCCGAAAAGAACGCCAACTACACTCTTGAGTAATATCTCCACTATCTTTCTGATAGTCTTGAAACCCAATTTCCCTTGATTCTTCTTCGAATTAGGTAAGAGTTGCAGATCTATCTTCTCTTTCTTCCATGCCTCATGCACCATTTCAGTCACACAGTACACATGAATCTGATACTCCTTACAATCAGAAATGTAAGACCAACCTCGAATGTCGGTTTTGTGGCGCCGAGGCTCTTTCTTCTTGCACCACATGCATTTTGATACCACTTCATTACGAAGCTTGAAAATCGCGCCATCGATGCACAGTTTACTCTTGAGGTTGCTACAACAAGGGTGCAAATACAATTCCTTGGCTTTGTTGTGGTAGAGAGAGCCACATATGTTACTCCCACACGCAATGCAGCGTGTTGTTGAACATTTGCTAGGAAGTTGATCAAGGAATTCGAGGGTGTGTCCTTTGAGGAATTCGTGGGAAATTTCCAATTTCGGATTCCTGCATTCCTTATGGAGCTCATAGTCACAGTGCTTACATCTGTATCTTGGTCCTAAACCTTCCTGCTTGCATCCATTGCAAGTGAACCGTTTTTCATAGCTTTTCAACTCGAGCTCGTGCTTGTGGCTAGTTTGATTTTTCGTACCAGTAGTCATGCGGAGAGCGTCATGATCAACAATCTCTTTCCTGAAGTAATTTCATCATATGATTTTCAGGTGTGAATGAATTTTAGAGGGAAAAGAAATTGTGTATATATTAACTAGCTAAGATAATATACATGACTAGCTTCTATAGAGGATGCCAAATGCAAATTCAGTGAACATTATGGTAAAATTTTGTAGACATGCAAGTGTTTAATTTATTCAATATAAAAATAAAAAAAATAAAAAAAACTTACAGTTTAGACCGTTGATTATTTTGGAAGAATTGCTGGTGTTCTGCCATGGAAGGTCGGGGGCCGCTGTAATGAATTAAAATCAATATAATACAAATTATGCATTTAATTTTCCCTATAAATAAAGGACAGCCACACGAAAAAGCATAAATTTTGTAGACATGTGTATACTTATGATTTGTTCAATTTATTCAAGATAAAAAAAAAAAAAAATTTAAAAATTCTTTCGGTCTAGACCATTGATTATATTGGGAGAATTGTTGGTGTTCTACTATGGTACGTCGATGGTCAGTGTCATGACCTGATCAAAAAAGAACAACTATCAAATGACAAGAAAATAAATAACTAAATCCAAATATCTTATGGTTTTGTATAAATTTGTTGAGTATAAATAAAAATTTTCTCCTTTAGTTTGAAAGAGATTGCGTGTTGAGAGATCAGATAGAGATTGCCAGACTTATATAAAATATAGAAAGAAGATATTTTCTTTAGATTTATAGGTTTATCAAGCGATATATACATTTGTAGATGGCTTACTTAACCACCATGCACTATCATTTTGTGGCATAAATTATGTTTTTGGCGGTAACTCTCTGATTTATCAAAAAAAATGGTACACCTTATTCTCTATTCTCTAACAAGGAGGTAAAATGACTTTATTGCCCTTTTAAGGTTCTAAATCTACACATATCATTGATGAATAAATAAAAGAAGTCATCATATATATATATATATATATATATATACCTGATGAGCCCTTTGGCTCCAATATATGCCAGAGAATCAACACTACTATTACGAATATACACCAAACAGGCACCATAGCTGCATATGTGAAAAGGATATGAAAATCAATTCTGCTGGAAAAACAACAATCTTTAACCAAATAATAATAATAAGTATGTTCAGATGTTTCACTAAGAGATTGTCGACTTGAATTGAACTCTTCATCAAAAATGTTTGGTTTAGTTCGCAATCTCACATAGAGGAAACTTGGAGAGGAAAAACTTATGAAGTGCATGTCACAAAGCAACTGTACCATGTATTTATAGATTGCCAAGTGATGGTATATACTTCGCAATTAACAAGCAATATTTAAAAGAGATTTGAAGATTAGTCACCATCTTAGTTGTTAAGAAACTTCAAATTAAGAGTTTTTGGACCATTTTTCAAATTTTAAAAAAGTGTAGAGAAGTGGTCTCATTCCTTTTGCTTAAGCGCTTTTCTTGGGTGTAGTTTGGGCCTCTTTAGGCCTTGTTAGTTCTTGATTTTGGGCTTTGGCCTGTCATACTTGTTCCCTCTAATGATATTCATGGGGTATTGTCCTTTCTATTTTTGTAGAGTTTTTTTTATTCTTCTTTACATGCTCTGAAAGATCTCTAAGGACGAAGCTTCAACAACTTCCCTTCACTTTCCAAATCATTGTTTCTTATTTTAATTAAACATCTCACACATCTTATTTCAATGTAATTCCTTAGCTCAAATTTGAGATTTCTACAAGTTTGTTAAATCTAATTCAGTTGAATTTTGAAGATAGTGCTGCTACTGTCATTTTGATATTTCGATTGCAACTTCAACTATCTTTATTAAAAAGCGATTACAAACCTTTAAACCTAAATTCAATAGTATGTGTGATTTCTCTGTTTATGTTTTCAAATTATTATTATTTATCTTATAATTAATTACAATTGAATATACTGAAATAGTAGATTCAATATATGAAAATAGTACGTCATCCAAAAAACATATAAATGATGAAGCATGACAATTAACCGCAGATGGAATAAAGCAAAAAGTACAATAATAATACATACAAATCAGAAGGCTGCACGTAATAGACTACATTACCAAAACACAAATCATTATTTTAAGAAACCAATCCAAGATGTAAAAATGTTGGAGAAGTAGTCCACCCCAATTGGAACCACACCTGAGAGGAGTTTTTTTTTTTTTTTTCGAAAGTTGACACCTGATAAGAGTTCCACCGCAATTGGAACCAGACCTGCAGTAATCCCCGATGGATCGACCGCCGCCCCGATAAGCATACCAACTATCTTCACTGTTTCCTTAAAAAAATTTGGGTCACCATCCCTGTTGGAACGTCGGGCATCTAGGAGTGATAGATCCATCTTCTCTAGTGTCATGGAATACCCTTTCTTCCATGCCTCGTGCATCATTTCAGGCACACAGTATACGTGAAAGCGATACTTCTTACAAGCAGAAATGTAAGACCAGCCTGAAACGCGGGTTTTCTGGCCTTTCTTGATACACCACATGCACTTTGATGACGCCTTGGGACAAAGTCTGAATATCACTTCGTTATTAGTGAATTCAGGTTTGAGTTTGGTACAACAAGGGTGAAAGTTACATCCCTTCACTTCGTCGCTGTAGACATAGCCACATATGTCTCTCCCACAGGCAATGCAACATCTTGGTTGCTTCTGTTTTTCGTAGAATTTGAGAGTACTGGATTCTTTGAGAAATTCATGGGAAATTTTGAGTTCTGAAGACTTGGTATGGCATTCCTCATGTAACTCATAGTCAGAATTTGTACATCTGTATCTTGGTCCATAACCTTCCTCCTTGCATCCATCGCAGGTGAACCTTTTTTTATATTCTTTCAAATCATAGTCATGCTCCTTGGATGAGTGGCTAGTTTCAGTATATTGTCCTTCCCTGAAATCATGAGAACAAAAAGTTAGAGAACGAGGAGTGGCGGTGGAGGGAGTGTGGCAGCGGCGTTGGAAAACTAACTAGCAACTTATTAAAGTTTCAAACAAATGAAATCCTTGAAAACTATTTTAAGGTGAGGAATGAGGAAACCTTTGAAGCCAAAACAGGATTTACAATCCCATATTTCAAATCATATGTAAGAGGGGCTTTGACTACGTAAATTTTATGATTGTATTATATCATCAGCTATATTATACTATTTTGGGACGGAAGGAGTATTACATTATAGACCATTTGATATAGTCTAATTCCCCAAACTCTTCTAGTAGCTAGAAAAGACAGAAGTGAAAGAAATACACATGAACATATATATATATATAGTCCAACAATAATTTATATATATGTATAAATGTTTAAATGAACTGACGTCGGAGGGAGAGTATGGAGAGTAAATGCAAATGGAAAGAAGAGAGCAAAAATAAGTTTGATTGAAACAAAGAAATGCAAAATCTTATTTTTAAGAAGATGGGGTAAAACATTTATATTGGAAGCTACTTTCAAAATTAATAAAAAAATATCAATTACGTGCATCACAATATAGAAAGAAAATGACTAGAGGTAAAATGCAAAGAGCCAAATTATTCACTTTTAAAACTGTAGGACTGACTTTCTCACTTTTATACTACAAGAGATATTGTGCTCACTTGGTGAAATTTCAGGGTTATTTTTTGCACTTTTATTTTTAGGATAAATTACACTCAGACCTCCTGAGGTTGAGTTATTTTTTAGCTAGATCAAGAATTTGGTTTTAATTTTTACTTACACTTCAATTTACTTTATGGATCATTTTATATTTAATTTTTTAATACAAAATATATATAATCTTAAATAACAAACAAAAAAAATCCTATATATATTCAAGACCGACACTGTCACCAGAGCCCATTCCCATGCCAATTTTTTATTCAATCGCATCCCTAAGTCAGTGTCATAGCAAGACCTTTTTCTTTTTCTTTCCTAATGACAAGACTAGGCAGTACTCATTGATTGGATCGACATCACCCCCGCTTGGCGATGGCGCCAGTGGCAACGATCATCGAATCAGAGATCACCACCATGGAATCAGTGAATAGTTTGAACGGGTGGGTTAAGAAGTCAACCCGATTCACTGTTTCGATGAACATCTGGGTTTCTGATCGGCGGACTGGTCTCGGCAACGCTCCATGAGCTCGTAGCCAAGGATGCCTTTGGAGAAGCCGGGAAAGTTCTCCACGTCGATGGTGGTGGTGATCTGGCCTCCGGGGGGCGATGCCGTTAGCCAAAAGCCCTCGAAGATAAAATTTGATGGGTTTATTTTCAAATTTAAACTTCATTATAGATAGGATCTCAAACCCTAAATCTCAAACACCCCTCTCCTCCTCATGCCCAAAAACCTTCAATCCAGTGTGTGATTTGTGCAAATGCGTGAGTGTGTATATAATACACATATTTGTAGAGAGAGAGAGAGAAATAATTAAAGGCTACATTTAATTTTCAGAATTAAAGGATTGGTTTAATTTTCATATATATATATATATATATATATATATATATATGCCATTAACAATTTTAAGATCTAGCTGGCTGAATCATTGAGGATGAATCTGCATTGTGTGATGGTGGTGTTGGTGAGAATATCTTAGACGAGGGAACTTGTTGAAAGGCGGAGCGTGAATTTGACAGAAAAAAGAGAGATTAACCAGAAGAGTAGGATTCTCATGATGAAGGAGATGAGGTTAGAGAGAAAGAGTGTGTGAGAGTCGGGAGATGAGAGGTTAGAGCGAATACTCTGTGTGTGGAATGGGTTTAGCTACTGTTGTGGGTCTGAGACATTATGGAGAATAGGAGATGAGGTTAGAGAGAAAGAGTGTGTGAGAGTCGGGAGATGAGAGGTTAGAGCGAATACTCTCTGTGTGGAATGGGTTTAGCTACTGTTGTGGGTCTGAGACATTATGGAGAATATGTGTGTATATCTAGATATATATCTATAAAGCTTACTGTGCGGGATTGATGTGTGAATTGGGGATGATGATGGTAGGAGGAGGAGGAGGAGGAGGTGGAGGAGGAAGAAGAAGAGGAGGAGGAGGAATATGTTGAGGGTATTTTGGTCACAAAAATAGTCTAACTGGTGGTCAAAGACTAGATAGTTATTTAACAATTCAAAAGTATTACGAACTTATAAAAAATTGAGATTTGAGAATATGATTGAAATATTAAATCACTAATTTAAATATAAATAAAATTTAAAATTAAAATATTAATCTAATCGATAAATAATCTAACCTCATATAGTCTAAGTTTAATTTACCTTTATTTTTTTAATACAAATGCAAAGTTTGTTAAAGAATACTCTATCTGTCTCAAGATTCTTGGTCATATTTCTATCTTTGAATGCCGAAAAATTCCTAATCCTCAATGTAAAAAAATAATTTACTTCCCAAAATATCCTTAACATTTTGAAACATACCCTAATTGTGTTACTTTAAATGGGTAGCCGAAAAATAGCCTTTAAAAATAGCCTTTAATGCCGAAAAATAGCTTCAAAGGAGACAAAACAATAAATGGTTATCTCCTTTAAAAATCAAGCCCCAAAGATTCCCAAAAATTATGGTATACGTGGGGAATATTAAAAGTGTATTGAATTTCTATTTTCTATACATATTTTTATTCTTTTTTAATATATATTTATATTTATTTCAAAGGTTGCAACTCTTGATTTTCCTATATCGTAAATAATAATAATAATAATAATAATAATAATAATAATAATCTATATTTTTTACCTTATTCAATATTCATCATTCATAATCAACATCATACTTTTGGCCCATACTTAAATTTAACTCCTGAGAATGAAATGATTATAAGATTTCAGTTTTTAATTCCTACTATTATGAAATCTTAAGAATCTTTCATAACATACAACTTAAATTTAACTCCTAAAAATGAAATGATTATAAGATCAAGAGTTGATTTCAGTTTTTAATTCCTACTATTGTGAAATCTTAAGTATCATGAAATCTTAAGCATCTTTCATAATATATAGCTCTGGCATGCCATGAATATCCTAATACCAAAATAATAATAAATAAATAAAAACTCAAAAAAGATTGTACTAACAGAATTATCTATATTCTAAAGTATAATTCTATTAAAAAGTTATTTTTGGTCTTTTATTTCTATTACTTTTTTCTTTTTCAATTTTTTTTTTACCCAAATTTTGAGTACAATGATTAAATGAGTAAGGATTACCTTTCCCGGCATAAATCACTCCCAATACTGGAATTGGAATTGGAATTGCAAATTAGGTGGTACCACCATGCACAAATTAAATAGAGAACTGCTGCAGTCACTGTTGTAGAGTGCAAAATTAGCATGTTACCCATAATCACTAATACTCCAGCTAATGTTATCATCCAGGGATTAAACCTAACAAATAAATCAAACAAAACTATAATTAAATCAAGCACAAATCTATTATCGAAATTAGTGTTTCATGATTTAAAATAAAATCTCATTTTTTTGTATTTGAGTAGATTGATTAAAAGAGTAAGGATTACCTTTCCGAGCATAAATCACTCTCAATACTAGAATTGGAATTGCAAATGAAGCGGTACCAAGATACACAAATTAAAAACAGAACTACTGCAGTCACTTCTGCAGAGTGCAAAATTAGCCTGTTACCCATAATCACTAATACTCCAGCTAATGTTGTTATCCAGGGATTAAACCTAACAAATAAATCAAACAAAACTATAATTAAATCAAGCACAAATTTATTATCTAAAATTAGTGTTTCATTATTTAAAATAAAATCTCACTTTTCTTTATTTGAGTAGAATGATTAAAGGAGTAAGCTAGGATTACCTTTCCGGGCATAAATCACTCCCAATATTGGAATTGGAATTGCCAATGAAGTGGTACCATGATGCACAAATTAAAAACAGAACTACTGCAGTCACTGCTGCAGAGTGTAAAATTAGTCTGTTACCCATAATCACTAATACACCGGCTAATGTTATTATCCAGGGATTAAACCTAACAAATAAATCAAACAAAACTAATTAAATCAAGCACAAATCTATTATATGAAATTAGTGTTTCATGATTTAAAATAAAATCTCACTTTTCTATATTTGAGTAGTATGATTAAAGGGAGTAAGGATTACCTTTCTGGGCATAAATCACTCCCAATACTGGAATTGGAATTGCAAATGAAGTGGTACCACGATGCACAAATTAAAAACAGAACCACAGCAGTCACTTCTGTAGAGTGCAAAGTTAGCCTGTTACCCATAATCACTAATATTCCAGCTAATGTTATTATCCAGGGATTAAACCTAACAAATAAATCAAACGAAACTAAAATTAAATCAAGCACAAATCTATTATCTGAAATTAGTGTTTCATGATTTAAAATAAAATCTCACTTTTCTGTATTTGAATAGAATGATTAAAGGAGTAGGGATTACCTTTTCGGGCATAAATCACTCCCAATATCGGAATTGGAATTGGAATTGCAATTGGAGTGGTACCACGATACACAAATTAAAAACAGAACTACTGCAGGCAATTTTGCAGAGTGCAAAATTAGCCTGTTACCCATAATCACTAATACTCCAGCTAATGTTAATATCCAGGGATTAAACCTAAGAAATAAATCAAACAAAACTATAATTAAATCAAGCACAAATTTATTATTTGAAATTAGTGTTTCATGATTTAAAATAAAATCTCACCTTTACGTATTTGAATAGAATGATTAAAGGAGTAGGGATTACCTTTCCGGGCATAAATCACTCCCAGTACTGGAATTGGAATTGCAAATGAAGTGGTACCACGATGCACAAATTAAAAATAGAACTACTGTAGTCACTTCCGCAGAGTGCAAAATTAGGCTGTTGCCCATAATCACTAATACTCCAGCTAATGTTATTTTCCAGGGATTAAACCTAACAAATAAATTAAACAAAACTATAATTAAATCAGGCACAAATCTATTATCTGTAATTAGTGTTTCATGATTTAAAAAATAAAGAATAAAAATTCTTACTGTTCTGACCACGGCTGGAGTTGGGCTACCGTTTGTTGGTGTTGAGGAACTGATGATGATTCTTTAACTGCTTCTGCTGGTACTATAAGTTTTGCTGTCTTGCCCTTCTTTTCCATTGAAATGGTGGGAGTAAAATCCTGAGCAGAGAAGGCCAACACAGACTTTTCCATTGAAATGGTGGGAGTAAAATCCTGAGCAGAGAAGGCCAACACAGATTAAAGGTTTCCAATTTTTAATTTTCTATTTTTGGCTAGGTAAATACAATATATTTACACACACAAATGTATGCTTGAACCAGAAAAACTTAAATGCTTTTGGTGTACATAGTCATAACAAGGTACCACGCACTAATTTAACATAAACACATAACTAAGAATGCATCTATTTTAATGGATTCTATGACAATAAGTCAGTTTTTAATCGATTTAAGTTTTTCCCCTACCGGACTCCGAACCAACTCCTCACCTCTATGAGACTATGAGGAAGAAGAGGTTATATCAACTGATAAACGAAATTAATTAGACAGCAAAAGAAATGATGCTATATGGATCAGAGTAAACATACAGAGTGTTACCTTTGTTTTTTTTGCGTCTCTGTTTTTTTTTTTTTTCTTGTTGGGCAAGAACTCCCCAAATCTTTGATACCGCCTCTTTCAAAACCAGAAAGGATGATTAATTTGATTAGAGACTTGGAATAATACTAATGAATTATTGCAAGAATTTGGCAAAACCATAGCGCAGTTGCGAGTATTTTATATAGTATATTGACGACCCAAGTTCGCAAGTCGAAGCTTCAAGGATATTTTTTTATCACAATCAGAGTTTCACTTTGGCCAATTATTTTTCCGCGTTCATTTTCAACTTCCGCTAAGGAGGTCACTGAGAGGAACATACATAGATATTATGGACCTATTTTTACATGTTGTAAGGATGATTAATATATATATATATATATATATTTTTTTTAACCCGGAATATCCGGGATGGTATGAACCCTTAGGATCCCTTAACAACTCGATTAATTCCCAAGGACCAGGAAGGGCGTCTTCCCACCCGAGCCGAGTAAGTCACTTTAGGGCAGTAGAGGGTGGCCACAAAAAACACCCAGCGGGACTCGAACCCCAGACTTTTGAGATTACAAGCTCCAAAATCTAGCAAGTAAACCGCTGGACCATATCCAAAGTGGATTATTTTTATATTAAACACACTTCAAAAAAAGAAATATTGTTTCTGCTTCGAGTCAATGTAAAAACACAAAAGCAAATATGGTTATGGTTCCCAAAGAGGCACTAAAAGACAATTACTTTCATGTTTTCATTTTTTCCCGAAATTCAAGCAATTGTATTAATTAGGTGATATGTACAAAAATTTATATTGAGGGGCAACAAAGTATTTTCATTGTAATAACATCACTTTGCAACAATTAATTGGATAGTTTGGGGGATTTTAGGACAATTTTTTTATATAAGGAAGTTTTATGCCAAAATAAAAATTGAAGGGAATTTTACACAATTTTCCCTTCACCGAAAATACAATTTGCTCTTTACCAAATACTCTTCCTAATAATATTGAACACTCTTCAAAGTAGAAATATTGATTTGGGTTTAAAAAATAAAAAATAAACAAAGAAGAGGATGTTGAAGTGAGTTGAACTTGGACTACCAAGTAGCTCAAAGGAGTGCCTTAACCAATTGGGCTGCCCAGTTGAACCCTAACCATGAGCTTAACTACTATATATTTTCTTATACTCAATTATCTTCAATTCTTTTGAATAGTGACAAAGCGGAGATTTTGAATATTCAAAATTAATTAATCATAAACAACTTTGAATCCATAAAATTAAAAGATATTTTCAAATAAATCTAATATATTATTGATAAGGAAAAGAAAATCTAAAATAATAAATAAACTAACAATATCAGGAAACCTTAGAATACCTACTATTAAACTTGGAAATTGAACTGGTTGCATGACCTGCATAAAACATGACTCAGCCAAAAACTAACTGGTTGAACTTTGAAATTTAACCAGTTGAGTTTTCCTAAATGTGCAAAAAATCAAAATTTGGTAACTTTTTAGTTTAAAACCTATTTTTACATGTTGTAAGGACTCTCTAATATATAAATATCATCGATCTCTAACACTAATTGAGATAGTGATTGTTTCAATTGAAAAATCAAAATTTTCACCTTTTACATGAACATTGAAACTTTTTGAAAGATTTTTCAAAGCAATCTGATTGTATATTTTTTAGAGCACACACTTAAACACGAGAGTGATGTTCTTCTATTGATCAATACGGAATCTTTGGAGTCTACATCAGATTATAGATTGATCATAACATCGTATCTTCTACAAATCTTCACAAAATTCAAAATTGAAGGAAGAGGAAATTTTGATGACACTACAAATGGATCAAGGCATTTGTGGAGTGCACATTGTTCAACTAGTTATCTTTCTACAGGAATCAAAAGAGCAAGCATAAAGTGATCAAATTTTGTTGAACAGAGGAGTTGCGAAGCCAAACGCATTTACCGATTAGTTTTTAGTAGAATGAAAGGGTATGAGTTTGAGTTAGAATTCATTGTATTTTGCCTCGACAACAATAGATTGTTTTACTTGAGACAATAGAGTTTTCGAGATTTTTCTGAGACTATTAGTTGATTTCCATGAATCAGGTTTTCTCACTCAAAAATTTGATGTCGTCTCTCAAACTCAAATTTACTTGTTTTTTTATATTGTTATTATTTTTGTAGTTTTGGATGTTTAATTGATAATATTGTGGATAATTAATTAATCATAAAAATTGGACAACTCCATTTATTCACCCCTTATAAGTCATTACTGTATTAATTTACAATTTAATCAACAAACAGCTTCGGTAACGGGCTACTCACACAAATATGGATTTTTCACGTCAAAAGACAAATAAGAAAAAGGAGGAAGAACATACTGTTTTTTCAATCTTAATTTACTAATTTCTCTTACTGCATATATCAACTTTACTTTTGTGTGCAAAAATAAAGTTGATCTAATTAAAGTACCAATCGCGACACAAATAGTACTTACTTTATCAGTGCAACTTTATCATTTGCCCGGGGAAAAAAAAGAAAAAAAAAAAGGTGAGCTTTGATTTATCATTATATTTTCTTTCTAGAAAATCGATCAACTCAGTGTCATATAGTGGTTGGATAATTTGGATTAGAATCAAAGAGGTAATAAAGTGGAGCTTCTTATGTGGGGCATAGATTCCACTATAATTGTCTCCTTTTGTTTTGTAGCATCAAAACTAGCAATAATTTCATTTATTTTAAAAATGAAATTATAAAAAAATCCTCTCACGAACAAATACTTAGTTCCAGCATCCTCCTCACATCAAGCTGACTATGAAGGTGAAGCTATGCTGAAGGTTGTTCATGGACTAACTACTGTCTACTGTAGTCATACGTGTGGTCTACTGGACCACCCAAAACTAGCTACACCAGCCGCAAACATTTTGCACGACAATTTCAGTTTTTATTTGATTTATCAGAGAAATATTATCTCTGTCTTATATTAATTATTTATTTTTAAAATTTTGATTCTTAATTTTTATGAGTCAAACTTATCGAAATAAACATTTAATATGTGATATATAAATATATAAAAGAAATATAAATAAAAATAATCTCAAATAACTTAAAAATAAGAAATAATAGTGAGTTAAATTTTTTAAAATCAATGACTTATATGAAATAAATCAAGGATTCGTTTTCACTGATATTACATTTCCCATACTTTAGACGATTTGACTCTTGAGTCCACGCGTGAGGATATACTGCCACTTAAGTGGGCCACACCAGACATATAGTGCAGAAAATGCCAGCAGTGATTGGTGGACAAAAAAGGTAAAGAAAGAAAGAAAAGGTGTGGTTCACCATCTAATAATTTTTCCAATAATTTATCCTCTTTAAGACTTAAGTCAAACCAAACACAACTTCATTGAATAGTCTGCCGTTTCACACACCTAGTGGCCAAATAATTAGAGAATGGAAATGTTCGGGAAGTCCACATCAACTATCAAACGAACCGGGGGAGGTGTTACATGTTCCCCCTAACAATTTAATCTTGTGAGTCAGATCATAAAACACACTAATGGAGAGAGTGTGTTACAAGCTTCCCTCTTAATAACTTAATCTTTTGAATCGTAAAGTATCAACTCATTACAAAAAGAATAATGATAGAAAATTCTAAAAGTAATTTTCGAAATTTCACTAAATCTGATATGGCGAAAGACATATAGAATTTATTACATGTCTTTTAAAATAGATAGGCTTCAACGTCCTCTCTCGCCTCATGTGATTTGGGTAGGTTTCGTCTTCAATCGCACAAATTGGATCAAACTCTAAGTTTTACTCGTTGCACACAATAACAATGATTTACAGTTTGGAAACTCATGCGAAAAAAAAAAAAAAAAAAAAAAGGAAAAGAAAAAGAAAAAGAAAAGCGGTGTGCCTATTGTCTAGTCCCAAAGTGTGTGTTCATCAGACGACGAGTTTCAATATTTTTTTCTTTTTTAAAAAAAGTAGGATAATATATCTATGTCTATACATTGTATATTCTATTGGCTAATTTTATACTTTTGTTTTCTGATCAGGGAAACAATTTTAGAAGATAATAGCACCTTCATTATATTACCTTCATTATATTAGTATTTTCCCCAATTTTCCTTTTATTTTCTGCACTTTATTTTTTCTTTTCGTTTTGAAATCATTGATGGGAAATAGTTTGGATTTAGATTGTAGGTAAAAGATGGGAGACCTATAAATAGAACCCATATCTTGAGGTTGAGGACAACTATGATTGGTGTAGGACTCACTCAAGACACGTGAGGTGAGAGGAGACTTTAAATTTTTCCTCTTTAGAAATATTTAATGAACTTGACGTGGTTTAACCACGTGAAATTCGGTGACAATTCGGGGATAACCATTCGGTTTCTCTATCACTACTCTTACAAAAATCTCACAAATTCTAAAATAGATATTATTAAATTACAAATTTGGTGGGAACTCAAATCCTAGCCTTTCATTTTAGAAGGTAAAAGAGATACTATTAAATTACAAATTTGGTAATTATATATGTTCATTCAACTTAACTACATTTGTATTGTGAAAATGTGTGGCATTGCATTATTGTAATACTTCCTCCGTCACAAAATGCTTGTCCACTTTGAAAAATGTGACTCACGAATTACAATTCTCAAAATGGACAAATATTATGGGACCAAGGAATTTTTATTCTGAGATATCTTTGTACCTAAAAAATAATTTAAAACCATTTATTGTGAAATTAATTCAAAATACTTAAAGGGATTTAAAACGAAACACCCAGGCTCCGTCTGTCTCGAAAAATATTTTCCTTTTTTAGGTAAAATATTTTCTTTTCTTTTTTGGTGTTTGGCAGAGGTCTAGGTCGAATCCATCGGGTGAGGCATGTAAAATTAATGAATAAATTATTTTTGTTACGTAAATATTTTAGACAACCAAACACCAAAAAATACAAAAAAAAATATCAAAAAATATTTTACTCTCAAACAAAATAGAGCCTTAATAACAAGACATAATTAGATAATGAAAATTTAAGGGCTAAGTGCAAAAAACACCCCCTTTATACTTCCTTGGTGCACAAAACCCCCCACTGTTTCTTTTGGTGCAAAAAAACCCCTACAATCCATTTTGACTAATTTTTTTTTACAAAAATTCCAAAACTGCCCCTACAAAATCATGACAGATTCGGAATTTGGGGGTGGGTATGGCCAGTGGCTTGTGATGACCGAATATGGCAGCGACGAGCAGCGACTCGAAGAGGACGCGTAGTGGCGCGTGTATGCGTGTTAGCTCTAAATGCTTTGGACAGCTGAGGATGGATCGGTGGTTCTACCGGAGAGCTATGTGGTGTGTCTGTCAACGGTGACAACAACTAATGAAGGGTCCGGGTCTAATATCAATCAAGCAACATATTATATGCATATGTGATTAAGGCTGCAACTTGGGTGGGCTAACCCAGCCCAACCCAGCCCCAATCCAGAAATTTTAAAATTGGGGCTTAAAATTCACAAATCGAGTTCATGTTCGGGTTGGGTTTTGTCAAAACCCAGACATATTCGGGTTAGGCTCAGGCTCAACCCGAACCCAACCTCTTCTTTTTCTGTCTCATCTCTCTTCTTTCTCTTTCTCTCTCTTCTTTTTCTTTTTCTTTCTCTTTCTCTTTCTCTCTCTACCGGTGTTCCTCTGCTGACGCCGCCGCCGACGTCCCTCACCTCAGCCACTGATCCACCACCGCCGCTGTCTCTCCTCCTTTGTCGTCGTCACTTCTAAAAATTAAAACAAAACCCATACATACAAGTTAGCTGTTGCAGAGAGAGGGGGGGAAGTTTGAGAGTTGAGAGACAATGGCTGAAACTTGTGAACAACGAACCCAAACTGGAATAGCAGGCGATGGAAACTAAAAGATATGGGTTTTGATTTTTTGAACAATCTGAAATGATATGTCGATATAGGTTTTGATATAGGTAATAGGTTTTGAACTTTTGATTCTTGCAGACAAATAGATAAACTGAAATATATGGGTTTTGAACTTTTAATTCTTGTTGATTTTGTAATTTGCTGAAAGAAAATTACAAAATTCTTGTTGAACTTTTAATTCTTGTTGAACTCTTGTTGAAAGAAAGAGGGGGCAATTTCAAAGTTGAGAACAAGAAGAGAGATGGAGGCATTGGGGTGGTTGAAATGATTTACCCTAAAAATATCTATATTTTTAATAATAATATAATCAAATATATATAATATACATATATATATATATATATATATATATATATATATATAAATTTTCGGGAAAAAAAATTATATATAAAAAAACTCAATCCGTCAACCCGCCCAAAAATATTCGGTCCGAGTTATAACCACAACTCAGGTTGTGTATAATTCGGACTAATCCAACCAACCCGATTCGAATTGAGATTGGGTTGGGGCGGGGCGGGTTGGCTAGCCCAACTTGCAGCCTATATGTGATGATCCACCAGCACAAAATTTTTACGCGTCTTTGACTATGGATTAATGCTAACGAGGCATGCTCTCTGGCCATGGGCATATTTGGGTTCCTTAAGCTTTCAACAGATAAAACTTTTCTCTCTCCTGCTTTGGTTGCTTACAGACTAAGAGGATTTCAGAGATCTCACCCGCCAAATTTAAGCAACAGTTTGGGAAATTTGGAAACAGAGGAGGAATAATTGAAAGTAACAATGGCTTGACATCTTTAAATTAGTCAATAGACTCAATACAAAGGGTAATCTCCGTTGTAATTAAAAGAGGCTTTTCTTTTTCTTATTCTTTGGTGAAACTCAAATACGAATGAAATTAAACCGAAAACATAAAAAGAATACACAATTTATTTGGTTAGTTTAAAATTAAGCCTACGTCTAAGAATTGTAAAAATTTCACCGTAATCATTAAAACTGGGTATAGAGGACGGCGACGTGACTGAACGTCGACGAAGGAGTGACCGGCAACGAACTAGGATCGGAACCGTAGCTACAGATGGTGGTTCGAAGCGGTGGTGATGGCGGTGCAGAGGGACTGACGGCGGTCAGCTAGAAGTGGCGGGTAAGGCAGAGGGTAATGGCCTTTGCTCTGAACGGCGGCCACGGATCTGTGATTAAGGTGGGACCGTGGGACTCACTGTGGTCGGCGAGGGAGGACGACGATCTGAACTGGGATTCGCAGGCGAAACAAAACAACAGAGGTGATGACAATGGAGCAGAGATCGATAAAGTGCCGGTGGCGGCTGCCGGTGGAGTGATTGGTGGTTGGTGGTCACTGTGGAAAGGGCAGTTTTGGAATTTTTGTAAAAAAATTAGTCAAAATGGATTGGAGGGGTTTTTAAAAGTGGGGGGTTTTGTGCACCAAAGGAAATAGTAGGGGTTTTTTCGCATCTTTTGAATACAAAGGGGTTGTTTTTTGCACTTAGTCCAAAATTTAATGAAATACAAACTATCTTGGATAGTTACGACTAAATCCAAAATAATGATGAAAAGTGTCACTTCTACGACGACAAAAATGACAACTTTAGAATAGTAATTTCGTATTTGACAGGGAGGACTACAATTGAGTCCAAATTACCGCTCATTAATAATTTTACTGGTAATGATCTTCTTGACTTGGTACCCACTGGTTGAATTCACCTCCATCCCGACCGTCCACCACCACCACCAACCACCAACCACTCAATCCCAACTTCACCTCCACGGCTCCACCCACATCGTCCACCACTAGCACCACCGCTGACCACACTCACTTTCTCTCAGCACCAATATATCAACTATCGTGGCGGAGAGGAAATGAATAGATAGAGAAAGTGGGTATCCTAGATTTATTGAAATGGATTATTTTAGACCAAAATAGTATATTTAATGTATTGATAATTAATTTTGTTTATTAGTTTTTTCACTCATATACCATTTGGATACGATCATATTGATAACATAGTAGGAATAAGTTATCATTTTTTCAAATTTCCCATTTTGATATCCTACATTTAAGATGTATTATGTTAATACAAATGTGCGAAAATTAGATAAACTTAAATCTAAAATGATCTACTCCTAACTTATTATTTCAAATTTCATTTGACATATACATATATATTTTTCAGACAAAAAAATAGATTCATTAATCAAGTATTCAAGATTCACCAAAACAGTCTCATTCATTTATGACATTAGAGTATCCTCCATTATTTTTTATTTATTTTTGGATAAGTTAAATTTTTATTGAATCTAAGATATCTAAACTCTAAAGTAACAAAACAGAGTATGAACCACACTACTAACCCAAGGAAAGCACACTACTAACCCAAGGAAAGCTCAACCCTAAAAGGCAAACATTACAACATCCGACAACAAAATAAGCCCGAGGATTAAGACATCTGTAAGGCCCATAACACTTGGCCCAAAAAGATATGAATCACAGACATATACCTTCATCACCCCCCGGCTTAGAAATTTACCACTGTAACGACCCAAACCATAAGGCTGAATTACTGGTGCTAGAACGCAAAAAATGGATCAACAATCTTCAGTTGGAATAAAATATGCTCAGATACTTAAAAATTCATATAAATTTCATTTCAAATTGAAATGGGGCAAACAAAAATTCTTAGAATTTTCTAAGTTTTTTGCATTTTTCAAATGAACATAGTTTGTGGAAAGGTCTATTTTCAGTTTATTTTAGATAAGTTGTTTTGCTTATAAAAACTGATTTTATCCGGAAACAATCAGCTCCCGAGAGTGGTACATTCACATTTCAATTTGTGTCTAATTTTCAAAGAATTTTAGTTTACCCTAAAATTAATATATAAATTTTTAAGTATCTGCTACGCAGATTTTCTTCTAACCTAAGAATGTTGAAACACCTTGCACCCAAGCCCTACTAAAAACACACACACACACTTCTCTCTCCCCAAACCGCATACGAAAGCCATCATCATCAAATGAAAATATTCATTGAGAAGTCATAATCATCACACTGATACCAATTGCAAATGAAATAAGTAGAAGAACTTCAAAATTATTGAACAATAATACATACAAAACAACATACCAATAGTAATAGATTACATTACCCAAAAATTGTATCTTTTTCAAACTAAGGAGGAATAAATATATAAATAAATAAAATAAAATTGGAACCATGCTGTATATGGGCCAAACATTTAAGATTACTAAGCAATTGAGTCACCAGAGCAATGGCCAAAGACTCATTAGTCTGTGATTAACTGTACCAACACAGATGCAATAATCTGTGATGGATCCCCAAAAAGAATACCAACTATAGTCTTGAGGAATATCTTCACTGTCTTCCATATAATATTCTTTAAACCTTTTCCATCGTTCTTACGTAAGAGTTTTAGATCCATCTTCTCTAGTGCAACAGAATCAACCTTATCAATAGCCCCTTTCTTCCATGCCTCATGCACCATTTCAGTCACACAGTGTACGTGAAAGCGATACTTCTTACAAGCAGAAAAGTAAGACCAGCCCGGAATGTTGGTTTTGTGGCCTTTCTTGTTGCACCACATGCACTTTGATAACACCTTGTCACGAAGCTCGAAAATCACACCATCGATGCATAGTTTACTTTCGAGGTTGCAACAACAAGGGTGCAAGCTCCATCGCTTTTCTTCGTCGTGGTAGAAAGAGCCACATATGTTCCTCCCACATGCAATGCAACATTTTGTTGACATTTTCCTAGGAAGTTGATCAAGGTATTTGAGAGTGGATCCTCTGAGGAATTCATGTGATATTTCGGGTGTGGGGAATTTGCATTTCTCATGGAGCTCATGGGCGCAGTGCTTGCATCTGTATCTAGGTCCGAAACCTTCCTCCTTGCATTCATCACAAGTGAACGGTTTGTTATAGTTTTTGATCAACTCAAAGTCGTGCTCATGGCTAGTTTGATTTTTCGTAGCAGTAGTCATGCCAAGGGCATCATAATCAACAATCCCTTTCCTGAAATTTTGGTTAGTCTATTAGTTCCATGAAATTTTGTAGACAAGTATTTATATATACAATAATTTGTTCAATTGATCGATCAAGATAAAATAAAAAACAAAAATTCTTACAGTTTGGACCGTTGATTATTTTTGGAGAATTGCTGGAGTTCTGCTATGGTACGTTGGTGGTCACTGTCAAGAACTCCTTTTGCGGATTTTGTTGGTACTATTTCCATGTTCTGCAGCTGGTTGTTCTCGCCGGAGGAGAATTGCTCCGACGTCAAAAGCTCCACATTCTTCCCAGCCTTTCCAAATGCGGCTATGAGTGTGTGTGGGTCTGTGGTACCTGAGATGGTCACCTTTCCTTCATTTGTATCTATTTCACTTGAATGCACTACTCCACGATCATTTTTCAGCACTTTCTTCACCTTTTTCTTACATCCATCGCATGTGCAGTACAATTTGAGATCAAAAGTCTTAGAGGAGGCCATCGAAATTGGTTGGACTAATTCCAGCTGATAGCAAAAGGGCAAACTGCAAACACAGATAAATAACTAAATCTGAGTTGAACAACAACAGAACAAATAAATAAATATATATCATATTTATTTGTATTAAACAAATCGGTAAATATAATTTTCTTGTATTAAATTGTTGACTACAATTAAATAATGTTTTCTTTAAAAAATATTTTTCTTTTGAAGAGAATTTATGCGTGTTGTGTGTTTTGTGAGAGAGAGCCAAACATTTTTATAAAATATAGAAATAAGCTATTTTCTTTAGACTTATTCGTTTTCTAGAGTGATTAGATCGACCAATATATATATATATATATATACACACACACATATTTATATATCAATTCATCGATCGGTGTATATGCATATAAACATATATTTGCACATCAGATGAACATATGCCTACAAAACATTATAAGGAACATAGTTTCAAATTTGTAAAAGGATACACATAGTCTAAGATGATGATGCTAAAGTGATCGTGCATGATAGAAGAGCTAGCTATATATGAGGAATATAATTACTCAATATTTGACAAGCTTAAGCAACTGAGCGAAGTGAACATATTTATCATGAAACTTCGTAAGAATTAATCAAAACTACAATCATTAATTCATTCCTTCGACAAACATATGACCAAAAGAACAGATCTCGAACTTACCCCTAAAAAAATAAAAATAAAAAATAAAAAAGAAAAAGAAAGAAAGAAAAGAGAAAGAGAGAGAGATCTTGAAACTTACTTGAATGAGGGCAGCTAGCCAGATTTAGAGTTTTTATGAAGTGTCACAAAGCAACTACGTACCATGTATTTATAGATATATGCAAATGAAGGCAAATTCAAAGAATATTAGTCTCCATCTTAGTTGTTAAGAAACTTCAAGGTAATGACCCATTCTTATTTGATTTTACTTCCACGAAAGTTGTTTGGAAATTTTAAATGTAAACAAGGCTTCAACGCAATCATTGTATCCTAACTGCTTTTGAAAAAGAAAAAAGTTACTCTCTTTTAATACAGTAGAATATATTCTCCTTTCAAACAAGAAACATGTATATTACTTTGAAGTGTTAACAATCTTTAATTGTATCCCAACTGCTTTTCTTTTTTTGTTGTAATGTTTTAGTACGTTTGGACTACAATGCTTGCATGATAAGCATGGCTCAATAATGTCTAATATATATATATATATATATATATATATATATATACTACGTATATCCGAAGAATGATATTTAATAGTTGTGTGTGGGTATATATATTAATTTGAAGTGTTAACAAATCATTGTATCCTTACTGCTTATCTTTTAAAGTGAATTTACAGACCAGTAGTGGATATAATATGATATTTTCATATATATATATATATACTAGTATAATATATAGTTTACAACCATACACTATCTTTAGAAAATAATTAACTAGATTCAGATAACCCCACCAAATGACTTTCTAGTACTGTCAGGGCGTTGCAACGCAACCTGATACTTATTACATGTTCATGAAGCATTATCCTAGAACTTTCTTGGCGCCCAAGAAAATAATTCAACAGTCAACTAGACTTAGACAAAACCGACCAAATGACATCTACCTGGATATAATATGATATTTTCATATATATATATATATATATATATATATATATATATCCAGGTAGATGTCATTTGGTCGGTTTTGTCTAAGTCTAGTTGACTGTTGAATTATTTTCTTGGGCGCCAAGAAAGTTCTAGGATAATGCTTCATGAACATGTAATAAGTATCAGGTTGCGTTGCAACGCCCTGACAGTACTAGAAAGTCATTTGGTGGGGTTATCTGAATCTAGTTAATTATTTTCTAAAGATAGTGTATGGTTGTAAACTATATATTATACTAGTATAAATTAATCTTTTGTGATTTGACGTTCGTTTAATTAAACCAAACTTCTGATGCTTTAGTCCCAAGTCAGGGAAAGGAAAGTGGACATGAATGGTTCAAACTTGAAAGCGACACAGAAAATTCTGTGACCACCTTCAACCAAACAATCTCAAGTTGTCAGTCATTCTGTCAATAATGTGATAATGACTTTGTGAATTCAAAATAACAGCTCAATGTGGGAAATTTTAAGGGGAAAATATTTAATTTTTATTTTTATTCTAGAATGAATGAAATTTCTTTAATATAAAATCTAGTAGGAAAGAATCATGATTCCTACGCGGTGCAAATCTTATGTCACGTTGTACAACATTTCGTTTATGAATCAGCGAGATAAAGTTGTTGCATAAACATAATTGATGTAATTTGTCGCATTGGCACAGGACGGACACAAAATGAAAATGACATACAAAAAGATCTGAATTCATCACACAATCTCTCTCATTGAGCGACTGAAGATGAAAAATTATTGGTGCATGATTGTGTGAATTTTAAATCATCGTTATAGTCTTTTTCGTCACATCTCTCGGAGAGTTATCTGTACCAGAGAGAAGTTTCATGGAATTCTTGATTCGGACACTCTCAAATCTGACCTTAGAGCCCCGCCATAGTAAAGGTTGTTCAAACATAAGTACGAGATAATCTATGTGGCTTGTTAATGGGACCAGAACACCTCCCGAAACTTTGGGCCATTAAAAGACTTTTAATACAAGTTTAGGACCTTTAAAATAAGACAATTAAACCACAATAGAAGCTTTGGACTATATATTTGGGCCATGAGGTTTGTAGTTTGGGTTAACTCGGGTTTACCTTTTTCTCGCATTTTGGCTGGTTAATTTGGGCCTTATTCTGGGCCTATTCCTTGTATAGTACTAGTAAAATTTAAGGTCTTATAATTATTCTTGAATCATCAACACAACACAGCTGGAGTAATTTTTCTTCCTCAAAGGCCTTACAAGACAAAGTTTGGAATTCAAGCCCCATAGTAAAATACTTGTGAGGGCATAGGTGTGTGAGTATGTATCTAACTAAAAAAATAAAAACCTTAATCATTTTGATTTATGCATACCATCATTTTCTTTCTTTCTTTCTCTCAATGTGTTAGGCTGAGTGTTTTACGCGAATTGTGTTTTTGTTTCTCACATTTTATGTATGTATGTATGAATTAGTTTTAGAATCAAGTGTTCTAATCTAATGGTACTTTCGAGTCTTTCCAAACAAGAGAGTTAAAGTCCCATAAAGATATATAGATAGAATGTTTCCTGACAATGTCTAAATAAAATATATTAAAAAATAATAATACTGAATGGCTCTAGCAGAGCCTAGATCGATTGGGGGTGAATGACGGTTGACAACGGTCAAATTTATTTATTTATTTATTTTTATTTTTATTTTTTTCTTAATGGCCTAATTTAGGTAATTTATTCGTAATAAAACAAATGCCAACTACAAATAGAATGAATCAGAGCCTCAAAATTGCAATACAACCTAAGCAGAAGAAAAATAAAATACAATTATAAGATAAAAGAAGAGCATAACCTTCCAATGATATCAACAACATGGAAAGATCCCCTTCAAATACCACTCGCGGTTCAAAGAACTTACCCTCACCCATTTGATATTTGCTGATGATGTTATGCTCTTTTGCCATAGAAGTGTTCCCTCTGTACAAACACTGCTTAGGGCCACTGAAATTTTCTCAAACCTGTCCGGGCTCCATGTCAACCAAGGTAAGAGTCAAATCTTCCTCTCTGGTGTGCCCCTGAAGTTGAATCTGCCATTCTCAACCTTGTTGGATTTGAACAAGGATGTTTACCCATAAGATACCTAGGGGTTCCTCTGATATCCACCATGTTGAAAGCTATGGATTGCAAAGCACTTACTGACAAGGTTACAGCAAGAATAAGACATTGGTACAGTAAGCTTCTTTCTTTTGCAGGAAGGGTTCAGCTCATAAAATCTATCCTTTTTAGCACTCAAACCTACTAACCAAATTCATCCTCCCCATGAGGATTATTAATGAACTCACAAGCATATTCAGAGCCTTCTTATGGTCTGGATCCGAGCTTAAGAAGCATGGTGCTAAGGTGAAATAGGCTTCTGTGTGCCTCTTAAAAAGGGCTGGTGGTTTAGGCATTCCTGAATTGCACTCATGGAATATGACTGCTATTTTAAAGCACCTTTGGAACATCATTACGTCTAAGGAAAACATCATATGGATCATGGATCAACACATACTTGCTGAAAGGGAGGAGTATTTGGGAGGTTAGTACTCCAAGCCAATATTCTTGGACATGGAGAAATTGCAGCTCCAGCTCAGACCTGCCATCAGACCACTTGTCAAGCTCGAAATTGGAAATAGTATGAACTCCAATTTTTGGTTTAACAGTTGGTTGCATCTTGGCCCTTTGCATCTTAGAATTCTTTGTCAACAAATTTCCTCTCCATCATTTGACAATATGACTAAGGTAAATGCTTTCATCACTGACTCTTCATGGTCATTCCTAACCACCATCACAAACATCATTCCCCAACTCTCCCTCCACAACGTGTTACCCCAGCCAAATTCTCTAATTCCTGACAAACTACACTAGATCCCATCACCAACAGGTAAATTTTCCATTGCCCATACCCTTAAATACCTTACCCAGCATATTCTTTCCATCCCTTGGACCCATCTAGTTTAGACTAAACCAGTGATCCCAAAACATTCATTTATCCTTTGGCTTGCCATCCAATCCAGATTGGCCACACTAGATCGGGACTGTACCTCCTACTTGAATTTACTAAACCTGTGCCCACTGTGCAATCTGGTACCAGAATTACATAACCACCTATTCTTTCAATGCTCTTTCCATTCATCCATCTGGACATTTTTGCAAGCACATTGTGGCTGTCACATTCTTCCCTCCTCGTGGAATAAATTGATAGCTTGGGTTGCCCACCATTAGAAGGGCAAAACATTGGACTCCAGGCCACACATTTCAAGGCTAGCACTCACGGCTCTAGTCTATAACATTTGGACAAAACGTAATCGAAGGGTATTCAAGAGGAAAAGGCTCTCTGCGAACTCCATCTTGAACAATTTGGAGGAATCAATTCGTCTTAAACGCATTGTTAATCCTCCACTGGACTCTCCAATTAATAGGCGAATTATAACTGATTGGAACATTTCTTGGTCCGTGCCTCATCCACTACCGCGACCTCCAGACTAGGATTGGAGACAGAAGCCCTATCTTCATGGATTGCTTCATCTGTTGCCTAAATAACTGCTCACCGGATTCTCGACTAATTGTCATGTTCCGGTTTGTATTTGTTGGCTTTCAACCTTGTAAACTATAGTATTTGTTGGCTTTCAACCTTGTAAACTATCTCCTTAGCTTGGGCCGTCTCATTTGGACTTGGTCTTTGTAATTGTCTATCTCAGGCTTCTTTTTATATAAATTTACTTTAACTTTCAAAAAAAAAAAAAAAAAAACATGGAAAGATTGAAAATGGCCAAAAATTTAACATTACTGACTAAATCACCAAAGCAATGGCCAAATTTGACTCAGTTTTTAGCCATTAACTCCAACAGCACATATGCAACAATGGCCGTTGGATCGCCAAAAAGAATACCAATTATGGACTTGAGGAAAATCTTCACTATCTTCCATATAATCACACCACTTTCAGGGTCATTTTTCTTCGGTTTATCTAAGCGTTTTAAATCAATCTTCTCTAATGCCACGCGATCAACGTTGTCCATAAGCCCCTCCTTCCAAGCCTCGTGCACCATTTCAGTCACACAGTGCACGTGAAATTGATACTTTCTACACGAAGAAATGTAAGACCAGCCCGGGATTTGGGCATTGTTCCCACCGATCTTTCTCTTGTTACACCACATGCATTTTGATGATCCCTTGTCG